GATCTAATAAAGGATTTCAACTTCTAAAAAGCACGTCAGTGCCCAAACCTTCATCCATCCTCGATAAAGCACATCACCTCTTTGGTTTACACAGTGCAGAGGGAGAAACAGAACCCAGGGGCTGTGTGATAATACTACCTGTCCCTGCTGAAGGATTTTTGCAAGAGAGTTACTGAAGTTCTGTGTTCAGCATGGGTTGCCTGAGCCCACTGGTGTGCCCGTGGGTGAAGAAGCATCCCTACAGGGTCTTAAGCAGAGAAAGGAAACACACGTAAGGAAGTAAGCTCCTGAGTTTAGACAGTTCTGCCATGGAGCCTTTGCTTTTCATTCTAGTGTTGAAGTTATGCAGAATTAAGGCACTTCAGCAATTGTTTTCGATCTACCCCTCTTTTAATATCTCTCCCCTCCATGCCTCTTCTCTCCCTGTTGTTATACTTCAAGCCTCCTTCCCTTCCATGCTGTCCCATCTTCACATCCATCTCTTGGCTGCCAGCTCCTCTCATTTGCTCCCATCCTTACCATTCTTCCTCTCTCTTCTCTTTCTCCCATCATGTCAGCTGCTTCTCCCTATCCCCTTGCCTCATGATACGGCCACCTCTGTGCTAGCATCCCAGAAGATCTGCCTTACATCTTCAGCCTGTAGCCCCAAACTTTTGCTTCCATTTCTTGTAGTAACCCACAGCCCAAGCACAGAATTTTAGAGGTTCTCCAGAAAATTCTCCTGCTTCCCTTTTGGGGGAAGGAGCTGGCAACTTTCAGTGGGGAAACATGGAGTTGTATTCAGTAGAAAGAGTACTTAGTCCCTGAAGTCTGAAAATGTAGGAAGGTGGGAGACAACTGTGAGAAACAGAAATGCCAGAAAAATGTGGAGGATTTGGCAGCTCCGTCTTTATGTCTACTCTGTTACCCTGCAGAACAGAATTCAAGGCAAACATATGAATGTGCTAACGTTGAAGTTACTGGATGCAAGTCTGCTACTGAATTATGTTGGAGGACTTTATCTTTTTTTTAGTTTCAAGGTTATTTTTTTTTGTTGTCGTTCTGCTCTATTTAGTTTCTCTTCAGATAATAGTAATGAAAAGTTACAGTGCTCCAGAACAACTCCAAAACTCTGTCTTTAAAAATACTCATTTGATATTAGCCTCCTTTGGCTAAAACAGTATCAGGTCTAATTGACTGCTGTCAGATTGCCATTGCTTTTTGTCACCAGACCAGGAAACAGACTGTAGTCATGAATCTTTCGGGAAAATCTGTCATAAAAACACTAGTAGGAAGCTGGTTAATACCAGTCTAATGCAGTTAAACAGATTATCTTAAGAGTACATACCTCTGCAAACCCTTTATATCACCTGGACTACTCAGTCCTTTCAACTATTATGATGCTGCAAAAAGGGAAAAATTCAAAGTCCTTTGGATGCAAAAAGTAAAAGTTACCAAAAGTTGTCAGCAGACGTCAAAATAGAGAGGTGATTTCAAAATCAGCCTGATAGTTATTCAGCATTGTGCTTACCTCTGATTGATAGGAGATAATACTACTGCGTCCCTCCTTGTCTGAAACTGCTTACAGCTGCTCTCTGCAGTTCACATCATGCATGCTGTCAAATCTTCTCGTGTCTGACACCGCCAATAAAAAGTTGTATACTGCGGGAATATCATTTACCATCATTGCAAATAATGCTGAACTCATTACAAAGCTGCTAAAAGTGACCTAAATTTATCTGTTCTAATTAGCATAATGTAACTATTGACCTCGTTAGATTGACTGAACTCATAAAAAATAGTTTCAGTAACAAGACGCACAATGAAATGTTACTTGGTGTAAATATATGGAATATCTTGCTCAGGAAGAAGGGAGACAAACAGAGCACAGGCTTGAGCTGCTAACTCACTCAGACAGGTCCTTTTTTCTTGAATTGGAACTGAAGTCGAACCATTACTTTGAAGTCTTGGCTGTATTTGGTCCAGAACTGAACTGCTTCCTGCCTACCTGCCTTCCTGCAAAGTATCTCTAGCTGCTGCACTGACACCCTGATCCTCTCCGATGCCAGCCCGCTTGGCCTGCGTCCTGCTGGCAGCTGTGTGGCAGCACTGTGTTGCTGTCTTGTCCTCTGCACCAAGATGTCATCCTGCACTGCTCTCCGTTGCTTTGGAGCTCCATGCGTGGACTGGTGCAAGGCAGACCTTTCCTGCCTGTGGTGTGACAGACCCCCACTGCAGTGCCATGAAGTGGGGGGGTTTGCACCTCCCTTGCAGCATGGGGCTGTAAGGTCCTTCCTGGGGGTCCCCTGCATGTGACTTGGCTTGAGTGGCCATACATGTGTGTGTGTATCTCCATACCTCGTGCACACTGCTGTCTGTCTGTGCTGAGTGCTATAAGCCCAGACTTTTGTGGGACTGAAGGAACAGAAGCATGCAGAGCAGACATCTGTCCCGATGCCCTGGGGCAGCCAGAAGAGCACAGCAGACTGTGGTACAGCCCATCATGTTCCCCCTACCTTCCCTCACCCATGCCCAGGTCGGTGACAGGCTGCATAGGCACACAGGTGCTGAAGAGATTGCAGAGGGAAGGAGATGGGAACACAGTCTCACTTCAAACTGAGAATCTGCTCCTGTCCCATAACCTGTAAATCTTATTCTTAACTGACTCATATGAGTCATGGGTAGCAATGAACCACCTCAAACTTGGTATGAGCAAGTTTGAGGTGGTTCATCGCTACCCAAACTGGTTAACAAATATTTACTGACATCCAGCCAGACTAAACTGCAATTGTGCTATCGAATGTAGTAATTCTGCCCCTTCCCTGACTGTGAAATTCAAGAATGTAGAAGTGAAAATGAATGCGTTTTTCCTTATTACAAGACAAATAAGGGCTGAGGCTTTGTGGTTTTCAGAACCTGGTTGTCATAAGCATTGCTGTGGCAATTAGACCATCTCAGTGCGCAGCGTGAGAGAGTGCTGGCTCTGTGGTCATCCTGGTCTTCCTGGGGCTTGTTTCCAGTGCAGATGCTAAAGCCCACGCAGGGGACCACAGGCACCAGGTCCTCCCTTCTCAGCGCAAAGCACCAGTCAGATTTTCATGCACCTACTCATGTTTTGCAACACAAAGCTATAAACACGTCAGTAGCAACAGAGGAGTTTCTGAGCTGGCAGAAGATGGCATGCTGCTGCATGCATACTGATATGCCTCTGTCTCTTTGGATTTTACTTAAGCTTTCAAACTCATGTAACTTATTTATCTCCAGTGAAGGCTGCATATGCTTTCTTTGTACTTCCAATCAGATGTGCTGCTACAGCTTTTCTTAGTTTTCGTGGACCTCACAGGAAAACCCCTTGTCCACCGAGGAGCTCCTGATCCATGTACCAGTTGCCCTGAGCAGGCACAGGCACGCACTGTGCTGTGCCGTAGCGTGCTGCACATACTGTGTGGCCTTCAGAACTGTGCTGTGCTGCCCATATCCCTTGCAATGGGATACCCCCAGTTGGCTACTTGTAATTGAAGAGCCTGGAGGTGGCACCTACTTGGCACCAGTAGTGACACCACAAGCACGTCCTTGTCTTTATCTTGAGGTGAAGCAACATACTTTCATGTAACCATCCAACTGAGAAGCCTATAAAAACCTTGAAAGAACACAGTGTGGGAGAACCTTGCCCCTGTTGGGAAGTCTGCACAGCATGCCATGCCTTAACCGCAGGTCTGTCTGATGCTTCATTATCTCGGGGTTCGCAGCATTAGAAGGGACGTAAGATCTCGTAGCTTGCTGCCACCTTTTCTGGGATATTAATACATATCCCCTTTCTTGAGGGTTTTTGTGTCTTTCTTATTGCAATCCAAAACAAACCAGCACCTCCTGGTGCGGAGCCATAGTCCACTGGTGTTTGCGTATATAATAGATTTTGTAGAGAAAAATCTGTTCCTAAATATACACCCATCCAGTCAAGCCACCATTAATGCTGTACATTATTAAGTCTTAGTCAGTGTAATACTGTGATGTGTGGGAAGAAATCCCAGACTGAATCTATTTTTGACATCTCATAGTTGATCTACAATGAGTTATAGTCACAGAGTTCAAATGTTGGCTCATTATTGCTGAGCTGGACTACTATAAGGCAGTTTTAAAAATAAAATTTGCAGTTGTGAGAGTATCATTGAAGTTCCTTAACAGAGGGCTTAACATTTCAGCAAATTCACTGGATTTCCTGAACTGGCAGTCACAGGCAAAGGCTTGTGCAGCAGGGCAATGCCAACCAGCATGGTCGGTGCTTAATGGGTCTGTTGACTTCTTGTTGCTGGTTCTCTGCTTTTCATGAGGCTCTTCATGTTGTGTTGCTATGCTCAAAATCTTTTAAGTGTCTTCTTGAAGGAAACAATGGGAAACTAAATTGCCAGGTAGCAAAGAGCCTGCAGGAAACAAAATATGATATGAAAATGAGAAATGTGCCACAAAACTTCCTAGAGAGATGGTCGATGCCCCAAGGCTGTCAGTGTTTAAGAGTTATTTGGACAATGCTCTTAATGATGTGCTTTAACTTGGTCAGCCCTGAATTCGTCAGGCAGTTGGGCTAGATGATCGTTGTAGGTCCCTTCCGACTGAAGTAGTCTAGTCCATTGTAGTCTAAAATGTGATCAGATGGTTCAAGTATCACCTGTGTTGTGTTTACAGAAGTGTGTCTGGGTCTGCAGTCTCTATTCTGTTCCTCACAGAAGTTCAGTCTTCAGAAACTGGGAAAAAGGGGAGCCAAATTTGCTGTCCTTTTTCGGCAGAACTTTGCCAGGGTCAGTTTTGCCTGTGCCTGGACTTGGCCTTGTGTTCAGGCATGTAGGTTCGTACACTAATTATAATCTCAGCTGGGTTGCAGGAGTGTCTTCAAAAGAGTTTTCTTTCAAGGAAGCACCCAAACCCTTCACAGTTATGTCGAGATGTGACTCTGCTGTGTATCTAATACTAATTAAATACTTGACAGGTGGGTTTTTGTGTTTGTTTTTGTTTTGCAGGAAGAAATCATTCCTCTTTTCAGCTCTGTATGCTGCCTTTATATTTGGTGGTCGGCACCTAATGAACAAACGAGCAAAATTTGAACTGAGGAAGCCACTAGTGCTCTGGTCCCTGAGCCTTGCCGTCTTCAGGTAGGCGTTTCTTCACACCAACTGCCTTTGACAGTAGTCCATGAAGAGGGTTTGGGGTTCGTCACATACAACAGCACTGCTAATGCGACAACAAGCTCACCCAGAAATGGCATTTCTTTAGTTCTGCTCTTCAGGGTTATGTCCTGATCCACTCCTCACCATTGAAATGATCCCCTTTGACCTGCCAGATCACATGGTGTTTGAAGAGGAGAGAGATCAATAACCCCCTTGAAGAACAAAGGTGAAAATAAAGCAAGGACATGAGAAAAACCACTTATCATTGCAATAAATTTACCATGCAAGGTAGAAATGGAAAGAAACACATTAAGATGTTAATTTTGTTCTCACTTACTAGTTAGTATTATGTTTATATGGGTGCATATATGGAATATTTAGTCAAGACTGTGATCTCCACTACAGTGAGGTAAACCTAAAGTCACTGCTTTGATAACAGGTAAATTAGGCCACTATAACTGAAATAAGAATCTGGCTTCTGGTTATTCCATTGCAAAGACCTCGTAAATGTAGCAAAAGGGTTGAGTATGGGGAAAGTCAGGTTCAGATTTGTGATAGCTGCTGAAGTCAGGAGTAAAACTGACCAACCTGAATGCCACTGTATTTGAATATGCTAATTTTTAATGAGGCTGAAGGTAAATGAATGTGTGAACAAATGCTTATGAAAACACACAAACTTTTGGAACAATTTACTAATAACAGCACACAGAAGACCTAAGGCATTTCATTGCCCATTGGGAGTGTAAGTTACAGTTCACTCAACAGCATAGAAATCATTTGTGAACCATTATCAAACACCGATAGCTGTATCTTTTTCTAATACCAATACAGTAATTACTGATTATATTAGTTCACAAATACATAAAACAGGTGTGCTTACTGAGCAGCTGTGAATTGTGTATTGTTTTTCACAGGATGGGAATAGTTTGAACCGAGAGTTTCTATAGAGTGAAATAAAGC